TCTTAGCTCTCTTGCTTACCGTGACCTTGCCGCTTAAGTGACAATGTTGAGCGCAATGTAGCATGAAGAATTAAGCGATGAGGAGTATGAGGGGAATTTAAAGCACAGAGACTGCCAGCGGTGGATAATGGCCCTTTCACCTGAGAAGGCTTCAAGATGTAAAAGGAAAGAAAATGGATTGCGGTGGCCACCTCCCTCCGGGAGAAAAGCCGGCTAACATTGTCGCTAAACTAAGGGACTTTCTCAACACATTCAGCATTGTTGACTGTGTTAGTGAGCCAAAGCGAACTTCCATGTACTCAATATTGATATGGGCGTTCATTAGTCAAGCATGAGCGGAATGCATTTTGCAGATGAATGTGAAATGGGCTGTGTGTAACCTTTCAGCCACACATTAGGAGTCAGGACTGCTGGAGTATTTACTAGTGGATAATGAGGGACTGAAGAACTCTGGGTCATGTTGATTTGTTAAAGCTCCAGTTCTGTTTCTTTTTCTTGTTGACTTATATAAGTGGTAACTTGTTGAACATGTGGGGCACGGAAAGTTTATAAATGACCAACCCCACTTGCAAGCATGGTGTCGGGACAGTTTGTCACCCTGTACTCTTAAAAATAAAGGTTCCTACATGGCTCTAAGCTTGGATGTGCAGTTTTAGGGAAAAAAAACTGTTATTTGATATAGAATGTTTAACATTATGGAAGGTTGCTGGTTCGATCCCCTTGGCCAACAGTACATGACTGAAGTGCCCTTGAGCAAGGCACCTAACCCCCAACTGCTCCTCGGGCGCCATGGATAGGGCTGCCCACCGCTCCGGGCAAGTGTGCTCACTGTCCCCTAGTGTGTGTGTTCACTAGTGTGCATGTATGTGGGTGTTTCACTGCACGGATGGGTTAAATGCGGAGGTCTAATTCCTCTGTGTGCAAACACCGTTGGCTAATGGTTCAGAATTCTGTTCTATTCTATTCTATTATGTGGAGTTTTAGAAAGATTGCCATACTTATGTATCTCATTTAGGAAAAAAAATGGTTCTGTAAAGCTGCGCTATGTAAGTTTTTTGTTAAAGTTGAAAGAACTTGCATTACTGAGTCAGGAGAAAAAACAAGCAAAAATATGGTGCATGCTGCTGTGAGTCTCCCTGTAAAACCTGAAATAATCATTTAAAAAGTCAGAAGCACCGGGTCTGATTTGGCAGTAGTTTTTCAGACCGCGTCATGCATCTTTACACGGTCATGCATAGATACAAAAAGAAGGTCCAATTGGATGTTTAGGACTCAAATGCAAAACCAACATTATACCTATTAAGATATGATGGCAACAGTAGATCATTCAGTGACATCACCCCTTACCAAGTTTTGACTGAGTTCTCTTTAAACAGTCGCAATTATCAGACTTATGTGCTTGTGGAAGGGGACTGATGCACAAATGACATTCCAAAATGTTCTTACGTATGTAGCCTCTATTTTCACCAGAGAGGTCTACAAATCCCCAAATCTTACATAGTGTAGCTTTAAACTGTGATGTACTAATGAGACATATTACAATCTCAGCAGTTTCAGGGTTGGGCAGAATACTTTGAATAACAACCAATAACTGAATACTGAATAAACCAACCTAAATGTTTTTAGTAATGTATTCCATTACAATACCTAATGTATTCAGAATGTATGTAGAATCTTCTTGATAAGACACACTGAAAAAAACTCTGCTGTAATTTTTACATAATTCTCTCTGTGCCTAGCAATTCTCTTTATGTATTTCTTTTGTTTGTTTTATATCTATTTAATGAATGCAAGTGCAAAAGGTTTTATCAGAGCTCAGTAACACAGAGATTAATAACTGATCATCACATTGATTTATCAGTCTACTCAGGCTTTAGCAGAGCTCAGTAACACTGAGATTATTAACTGATCATCACATTGATTTATCAGTCTACTCAGGCTTTAGCAGAGCTCAGTAACACTGAGATTATTAACTGATCATCACATTGATTTATCAGTCTACTCAGGCTTTAGCAGAGCTCAGTAACACTGAGTTCCATTACAACCCTCATCATTTTACACTGTATATGTATTACATAAGATATTAGTGTGCACAAGCATAAAGCCACATCATGCCCTGAATAAGCAGGTGTGAAACTGCAGGTGTAGATGTGCTGCTGGCTCTGCAGGTCTGCAGATGGATGCGTTTTGACTGATGTGATGGGACCGAGAACGGAGGTGATGGTGGAGGGGCTCACTGTGGCCCGGGTGATGCTCGTCACAGATGTTGCAGCAGACAGGTCTGCTCTGCCAGGGGTAGCGCCTCGCCCGGTGGGTTTGACAGAATGGGGCTCGGCTCTTTCTCATCTCTGCTTATCTGTCCCTCTGTCTGTTACTCTGCCTTCCATGCTCTCTCCTCCACTACCTCACAAATATGTTTTCTTGCTCTCTCCCTTTTTGTTTGTCCTTTTTTTCACATATTCTTTGTTTCTTTTTTTTCTTCCTTCTCTCTTTTGCTGTCTTTGTCTGGTGTCAGCGGGTCTTGCACTCGGACTGAATGAAAAGAGATGAAAGCTCCGGATATATCTGATGTTTTTGTGAGTTACCTCAGCCCTGATATCTCAACTAACTGACACACACATTTTGAAGCGTCTGTTGAGAGATAAGCCTGGATGTTTGATGTCTTGGATTTTTTTCTTTAAATGGTGTAGTAATACCATGCTAACAGTTTGCTAGTATATAGTAGGACTGCTTGATAAAGAGACAATACTAGTATTGTGGTTATATTATTACATATTGTGATTTGCTATAGTGATGTGCCTTACAATATACAGATTTCAGTCCCAAACAAGTTGGAGAGTATGTGATATGGAAATAAAAACAGAAAGCAGTGATTTGTAAATCAACTTTGGCACACATTTAAACCATTTGACTGTATCTGTTTCATTGTTTATTGTAAATATATGCTCATTCTGAAATTTATGACTGCAACATGTTCCACAAAATTTGGCACAGGGAAATTAGGGCCAGGAAAAGAAAAAGAAAACATTGGTGAATGTCACAATCTTGAATAAGTGGGGTTTTAAGAAGGTAGTTTCTTCTTAAGAACAGTTGGTGAATGATGTCCAATGTTCCTCAATGAGCAACTGCTAGTACGTCACCTTCTCTGCTGCATATCATCAAAAGATTCATGGAATCCAGAGAAATATCTGTGCATAGAGGGTAAGGCTGAAAAACACAGCTGAATCTCTTTGACCACATTAAAAAAAAACAGTGTGCTTCTGTGATGGAGATGACCACAGGGGCTTGGGAATACATTTTAAAAACACCATTTGATGTTGAAAGTTCAGACTGTACTATGCACTGCATAAGCCATATGTCAACAGTGTCAAGAAACACCACCGGCTTCTCTGGGCTCAAACTCATCTAAAATGGACTGATGCGAAATGGAAATGTGTATTTTAATCTGATGAGTCAGCCTTTCAGATTGTTTAGGGAAATAATGGATATCTTGTTCCCCGGGCCAGAGAGGAAAGGACGGTCCAGTTTGTTATCAGCATAAAGTTCTAAAGTCAGAGCTTTTGGAGCAACATTATTTTGACCAAGCATAGTTTTGCTGGACTGCCCTGGGGTCCGCAACATATGTCATGTAAATGTCTATGATGTGGGATATTAAAAAAAACTTGCCAGATGTAATGGAGGTTTAAATACATGAACACAAACTAAAACCAAATGATGAAATAAATAAAATATTTAACTGTTTGTTTTTTAGCCCTTTTCTGACTCACTTGATCTTCTACATTACAGCTGCTCTCTTTTCCTGCCTCCTGTTATGCCTGACTGCCTGGATTCCTGTCTTATTCAATTAAAATCTATTAAATTTAACTAAGAGACCCGAGAAATCAAGCCCACACACTGTAACCATTGCTGACTAGCTTTATCACTGTTTTACAAGGGATGTCACTCCTCTGTGTATAAAGAAGAGATGGATGTCTGACCCCTGTAATAATCAGCCAAAAAATAAGACGCCCGTACCGCTGTGCCCACGACCAGTAGATGCGACTAAATTAGCTATCTTGCATAAGCTTAGCTTAGCTAGCTAATGCAAAGTTATGCAGATGTTTAATGTCTTTTTTGTGTACAGTTCCTGACAAATATCTGCAATTACTTATGAGTCAAGCAAATCTTACATTTTCTCTCGAATGTATAAAATATAAGCAAAAGAAAGGTATCGGTTAGCATCATATTTGCTACAGATTACATTAAGACTTTACAAAGTTAGCATCTTGTTAGCTACTAGTTGTTAGCTGTTATTACTTTAAATCCAATAATACTTAAATATTAACTCCAAAATACCACGGTAGTTTACATTGTGGTGCTTTGCGGTGATCATTTACTAATACTCGAATTTATCCCCTCAGCAGCTGTGGCTAAATTGGCTAATTGCTAACTATAACCAGCTAGCTGAAACAGTTGTGCAGGCATGAAAGGACAAAGATGGTCTCAAAAGTGTCTACAGTTACCCAGAAATGTGTAGAGTCAGGCAAATCTTGCTTTTATTTTATTAGGTATATAAAATATATCAGAAGAAACTAAATTCTATAGCTGCTGCTATGCATGCAAATATCATTATCAGTAGCAGCCAAGCCGGCAGTGAACTCTTTAATAAATCTAAACATAGAAATCAAATCCATCAAAATACTATATAGTTTACATTCTAGTTTAGTGGTTTTGTTCAGGGGCTTGGTGACTTTACCCTGCTGAGCATTGCATGTGTTTTCATTTGAGTCATATAATATTCTTATGCCTTATATTTTGATAAAGTGTAAGATATATTTTACTCCTTACTTTTTGTTATGTTTTATCTCTCTTTATTTTCATATGCTTAAAGAGATGGAGATGCCACTCTCTAGTTCAGTATGATGAATACAGTTGAGGAATTTTATTGTGAACGCAGATTCTATAACGAAATGCTCACTGCAGTACTGCAGTAATTTACCATTGGTACCTTTGTGTTGCAGTGTTGTGCAGCTGGATTCGTCTCGCACCCCTGAGCCTCGACATGTGTTATCCCGCCACACTCTCCCCATCACGGACATCCACTGCGGTCTGATGGGACCTCAGGCCAGAGTAGCTACTGCATCTTTAGATCAAACTGTTAAGGTATGCTTATTGCGTAATATATTGCATAATAATTGCTTAATAATTACCCACATTTAAATTCTGAACACAGATTAGGTTGACCATTGGTTATAAAAACAAAAGGACTTTGCTGATGTCTAAACTATATGATAACCTTGTTGTCACATAGTTAAAATAACTGTATAAATGTAAACAAAATGTAATATTTAATATGAATGCACAAACATGGAGCACTAGCTAAATACATAACGTAAGTTTCTAACATGTTATGTATTTAGATGGTCAGCTGCAGTGTGATGTACTTAAACAGTTACAGGCTGTAATTAACGTGAAACTAAATGTTATTGGATCCCTAAATCACACACTTACCTCTTGTTTCTCAGGTCTTGTGTCCCTCATCGGGTGGTAGTCTTCTTCAGAATAATGTGGATAAATGTTCTGAAGTTATGGTTGCAATTATATCATGAAAATGTCTTTATTATAATCACTTGTGGTTGTTGTGCTACTTTTATATGTAGGCCTATCTACAGACAGTGTTGTTACTTAGGAATAAATTAGGTAAATATACTGAGAATATGCAGAATCAGGGCTGGAACTGGTTCTTTTTGTGTTACCTTTTAACGAAATACTGTTGCTCTATTGTAAAGCACAGATTTGGACAAAAAAAAGCTTACACCACTTATGCACCACATATATCTTCACACAACATGCTTATATTTTTTTATCTAAACTTATCTTAACTTTTAGTAACAACTAGAAAATGAGCATGTCGGTTTTAGGTTAGTACAACTTCTTACCACTTTTTTTATTACATATGATTACCGACTCTTCACTGTTACAGCTACTAACTTTTATTAGTTATTTAATAATAACTCAAAATTACTGTGTAATTTTTGGTAAGTACAAATTTTACCACGTCATCAACCTCTCGTTACTGATCTGTAACGCACTACTAAAAAGGCAACCTCATCCTACATTCCAGCTTGAACACCCCCACCCCCCCCTACCCAACAGCATGTCCTTGGCAACATACTCAAGTACAGGGGCTTCATATATAAAAGATTTGAACGCTCAGATTTGATCTTAACCCGGAATTTTCACTTACGACCATATTAAGTAATGTTTTATAAAATGAGATTTTGACAGGAAAAACAGGATTTCGATGTGAAAGTGTGCATAGACTGAATGTTTCCATGCAAACCTTTGGCTACAGGATCAGTAAACGCAACACCAGAACTAAATCATGAATGGGGGGCATCCACGGAGGAGCTGGGTGTGGGAGAGCTCTGTGGTATTCACTTGGCACAGAAAAAAGCTAACCACATATTATTTAGGAGGGAATCAACAGGAGAACCACGTTTGCAAGTCACCATACATCTCCCTTTTAGTAAATCTGCAGATTTATCTTTCTACAACATCCCTATAATGCAGTCAATACAAAGTGATGCATTCAAACCTTACTATGTTAATCAATGTAGCCTTTTATGCTACTATTTGTACATGCTTCAGTAGCCACAGGCGGTGAAAGCAATTGAACAAAAGCAAGTGAAACTAGACTGCAGGCACGCTGCCCCTGCTTTTGCTGCCCGCCGCTATTGAAGCGTGTACTAATGCCGGGCCTGGCTGACTTATTTCACTAGATTTACCTCATAAGGAATCTCGTTTACTTCGTCAGGGCTGCCCATGTGTTCAGTTGAAGAATTAATTAGACAACATGATGGATGATTAAGTCACTAATGTAAACACATTTAACCAACAGATTCCTCATGTGGCTCTGCTAAATGGAGACACAGTGAGTAGCAGTGAACTCTTAAAAGAGGTTTACTACAGAAGCAATCATTTGGTTAATTTTTTTCCATGTTGTAAGCTGCACTTTCCTTTCCTAATATGATGAAGATGTACATTTCTATCAGATGGTTATAAGTTAGACATTTAAAATAAAGTCAGGACATTATATTCCTCACAGAAAATGAGGCAAAATGAGACAGCAGCAGTCAGCTGATGGACAGATTGACCCCTCATGCCCCTCTGCCACGCCTGCCAGCGTGCTGAGAGTGTGCAATCCATGAACACGCACTTCTTACAGTTATAATGAATCTAATCTTTCCAAAAGCTGTACAGGCAAATCAGGGTGTACTACTGCAGCCTGCATGGCAAATATTGTTCATTAAATAATTAATTGGTTCATTTTTTACATTCATTCATCCATGTTGAAGAGAACATGCTGCGCTATACTCTTTTCTCTGCCTTTGAGCGTTTATTGGTGGAAACTTTTGCATGCAGATAATTAAAAGATGGGCGTAGTTGGAAAGCTTATTCACGTGCACTCATTTCTGTGACCGTTTGTGATTTATAAATGACTGTAGTTGCGTGTATTAATGAGTGTACACTCATTTTATAGATCATTTCTAAGCAAATGTTGAGAACCGTTCTTAAGAACACAATTAAAAACCCAAGTAGTTTTTATAAATGAGGCCCCTGTTGTTTTAACATGCGTAGTCATCAATATGAGCAAAGTGGGCTGGAGGTTAGGGAACCAGCCTTGTGCCTGGAAGGTCGCCGGTTTGATCCCCTTGGCCGACAGTACGTGATTGAAGTGCCCTTGAGCAAGGCACCTAACCCCCAACTGCTCCCCAGGTGCCGTGGATAGGGCTGCCCACCGCTCCGGGCAAGTGTGCTCACTGCCCCCTAGTGTGTGTGTTCACTAGCGTGCATGTATGTGGGTGTTTCACTGCACGGATGGGTTAAATGCGGAGGTCTAATTCCTCTGTGTGCAAACACCGTTGGCTAATGGTTCAGAATTCAATTGAATTCAATTGAATCACTTTCACAGCCATGTTAAAACTTTCACTGAGTTGTTGGAATGTATATTTTCTTGTTGTCTTACAGACCAAGTATTCAACTCATGCACATCCCTAAGAATACAAATACAAAATACAAATGTGTCTTTTTAAAATAAATATGCTAATTGCTAAAGAGCATCTTTCACATGCTTATCTCAGAGATACTCAGAGTCTAGAATACCCAAAAGAAGAATGTTTGTTTATACTGTTTATGTGTGTGTTTGTGGAGCCGTATGATAAAGATGATTTCGTGATAAATCTGCATTTATACAGATGGTGGTTCTGCCACATTTGAGCAGAAGTCTTTTGAGAGGGAGTTCAGGAAGAGGGTGCAATACAATAATACATTCAAGTCAGGATACAACCATTTTAAGCACTTGACGTTCTGAGAGCTGCTGTATTTACTGCTTTCTTAGTAGTGATGATCAACAGAACATACACTATATGGCCAAAAAGCATGTGGGCACCAGAACATCACACCTATATGAGCTTGTTGGACGTCCCTATTCCAAAGCCACAGGTATTAATATGGAGTTGCCCCTCCTACTCCCCCTTTTGCACATATAACAGCCTCCACCCTTCAGGGAAGGCTTACGTGGGAATTTGTGCCCATTCAGTTAAAAGAGCATTTGTGAGGTCTGGCACTCATGTGTATGAGAACGCTCACGTGGTGTTCCAGTTCATCAGTTTGAAATATTACAAAGACAGCTCACTATTCCAGGCTTGTTAAGTTTATCGCAGTAAGTGCACTCTGTGCCCATTGAATTGGTTTTACAAGCTAATTCGTTCTTCTTCGTTGTGCTTAACAGTTTCCTGGTCCACCAGGCTTGATATGATTGCCCAGTCACAAGTCAGAATGCTGTCCACGGTAAACAAATGTACAGTGCTCTTTTAGAACTGTTTTTTATTGAGCAACTTGACAAATTTGACCGTTCATTTGTTTCTTGCTGCTCTCATACTTGCACAAACGCTGTATGTGTAAATGACCGGCATATACAAGCTGTAGCAGTGTGTAAAAACACAAACTATTTATTAGAATAGCAGTATATTTAAAAAGTGGTCCAAAGATGTGAGTCTGGTGTGGAAGAACTTGAAAGGCCCGCACAGAGGCTTGACCTCAACCTCATCAAACACCTCTGGGATGAACTAGAATAGAGATAGCAAGCCAGGCCCTCTAATGTCAGTGTCTGACCTCATAATGCTCTTCTGGATGAATGGACAAAAATTTCCACAGACACTCTCCAAAATCTTGTAGAAGCTGTTATAGCCATAGACATATGTTCATATGTCTATGGATTTAGAATGGGATGTCATATGTTGAATGTGTATGTATATATATGTTTATCGCTGCTGTCAGAAGAAAACTTCGTATCTCCTTTACATTGTGTGTAAATTTCATGAAGAATGGAGCAAAGGAAATGGTCATATCTCCAAAATGATAACTTTACAGGAAATGGGGAAAAAACCTACTTTATTTTTTCTTTTTTTCTTTTTTTCTGTACAGTGTCCAAGGTGCGGACATTTTTATGGAAATCTTTGGGGAAATGCACCCCCACCAGTATTTTAACTGCATTTTTTTATAGCTCATTTAACTTGCAAAATAGTCATAAAGAGTCTAATAGGACAAAAAAGTGCAAAATGTAGTTACCTAAGAATTCCATTTAAAAGGCTTCTGTTGTTGTTTTGGGGTATTAGGTAATAAACTCTTTAACTGTCATCCTTAGCTATTTTATATTGTTTGCGCATGTTCATTGTTGACTTTAACGAGAGCTTGCTAGGCATTTACAAGCCTCCCTGCTGTTTAGACAGTTCAGTAGGCTAATTTCGTTTTGAACAGGAACATAAGCGTTCTTCTCTTCCAGTTTGGGATGCTGTGCAAAAGCCTCGTCACTGTGTAATAAATGCGATCTGGCAGTCGGCGCTCCTGATCAAATCAAATTGAGTAACCATTAAACAGTTTGTTTGCCAGTAAAGTGTAGTCCCTAAGTAACTTCACAGTGAGGCCTTTGTTGTTTTGGCTCCATATTCCAGCACATTTGAAATGAAACAGTGACTGCAAAGTTAAGTGTCTACTGTCAGCTTTGATTTGAGGGTATTTACGGCTCAGTTGTTTTTTGGCCAGGTCTGTGTGGTTCTCTTAGTAGTTCATGCACAGCAGAGCTAACAAAAGGTCTAGAG